TCTGAATCAGCAAATGAAGCTCCCTATTTAAATAGGGAGGAGGGTTCACTGACAAAGCTGCTTGAGACCATGAATTTGAAAGGGAACTGGAGGGCATATCTTAGAAACCCATCCCCACATCCCTTGTTACTACCTTGGAGCAGTGCTCAAGAATACACAGTAGAGGGGCACCTGGGTGGCTTAGTCGGTTAAGCGTCCGACTTTTGCTTAGGTCATGATCTCGCGGTTCGTGGGTTCGAGCCCCGCGTCGGGCTCTGTGCTGACTGCCAGCTCAGAGCCTGGAGCCAATTTCAGAGTCTATAATCTCCCTCTCTCTCTGACTCTCCCCTGCTCACGCTGTCTCTCTCTCTCTCTCCTAGAAATAAATTAAAAAATATTTTTTAAAAAACTAAGAATATACAGTAGAACTGGGGCACTACTCTCATTGCCCTCCCTTCTCCTTGTTAGCAAGGGGCAAATTGGAAAGCTTGTTGATAAAACCCCCAAGAGAGCTCCTTCCATGTTGACCATGCCTAATGCTGTTGAAGCAAAGCCCTCACCTGCTTTTTGGGAGAGAACTGGAGAAATGTAGACCTAAATAAACAGCACAATGCAAACAAACACACATTAATTACATTCCATGATCTGCCATAAAGACACTTTTACTTAGGGTTCTGGCTAATACTAAATCATCACCACAACAGAAAACAGATGCTGAGAGTGAAGCTACTTGGGAAAGCACCCGAGAAGCAGTCTCTCATCAGCATCTGAAGTTTCAGAGTGTGCTCTTTAACTGTGCCAAGCTTTGTTCTCAATTCTGTGGCATCATAGAGCTTTAGAGCTAAAGGGACATCAGAGTAATGGATGTGATGTATAATTAGACCTGCTATTGTTATACCCAGATCGCAGTATCCTCACCGACCAGAGACCACCAGGGAGACCGAGTCACGCATGCAAAGGCAAAGGGCTTTATTACAGGCTTGAGCTCGGGCTCACAGACTTTACCAGCGCATGAATCCATGCTGAGAGCCCCGAACAAGGGCAGAGTAGGGTTTTTATGGGGTTTGAGATGGGGGAGTTATAGAAGTTGTGACATGGGAACAGTGATCCAATCATAATTATTCAACATCGTTGACAGCGGGTTTGACCATACACATTGTCTAGAGTATTCGTTACTTTTGGCGGGATCCAATTACAACATGTAGAGTACCTTTAAATTCAACCAATCACAGAGCGAGCCTAGGGTCTTGTTCGGCGACTAACAGGTTAACTTTAACATTAGGTAACAGGGTCCTATCTATCGTTTCTATCTCCAGGCCTCTCCCTTAACAATGTGGAGGGTGGTCGCTGGCCTTTCTTGATTGGGTGTTACAAGGGTGGTTACTCCTGCCTTGGGCAATGTGTAACTGCCTGATAGTTTCGGGGAAGCCGAAACTCAGGCCTTCTAGTTTAGAGGGGAAACTTAAAGCCTGTCATGGAGTCAGTTTGGTTTAGACATTTAGACTTGTGGCCTTACACTACTTAATCACCATTAGAAATATTGTGAGTGCTTCAGCTGTAAAATGCAAAGGCATTTATTTAGCTCCTATTTTAATGTTGAGTTAGGCGATATACAAAGAAATTCTATCAGATATTTCAAAGGAAATAGCTACTGCTTACTCTTGTCTTCTGGCAAAATTAAGTTCTATAATCATAATGAAGTAAAATGTGGCAATAACAACATCTAACCTTTTTTCATTTCTAGCATCAAAAGTATTTATTAATCGTCTCCTGGGGCAATTGGCTGGCTCAGTCAGTACAGCATACCATTCTTTGTCTCAGGGTTGTAAGTTTGAGCCACACGTTGCTTGTAGAGATTACTTAAGAATAATAAAATCTTTTTTTAAAAAAGTATTCATCAAGTGTCTCTCTGTGCTAATGAGTTAAAACATGTTTAAAAAATTACTGTAGTTATATGAAAAATGGATCTTAAATATATGCATTAAGCAAATGTTTGATGAATGTTAATAGTACATGTTCTGATTTTTATTAGATATAAGATATTTATTGAGAAGGTAATTAAATGGTAAATTACCTCAATAATCTAAACTGAGGGTGGAGTCTCAGATGTTACTGGTAACACGAACCTTTAAAACTTTAGACAAAGTTCAAAGAAGACTCTGAGATTTCTCCTAGAGGTTCAGGCCAACAAGTTTCTCTACATAAAAGTGGGAACTTCTAGGTGCCACAGGAGCCTGAGGGTGAGAGAGCAACGCCTGATACTGAGGAAGATATTATAAAGGGTGTGCGATAGGACCCCTTAAGGAAACATTTTATATAGCTGGTTGAGATGCTCAGTAAATATTGCCCAGCATCAGCCCCTACCCCTACTTTCTAACCAATCAATTTATCAATCAGTGTCTGTCTGCCACATGTGCCATATGCTGAGTTAGAAGCCAGAGATACCAAGATATCCAGGCAGAGTCAGGCAGGCTTGCAAGCAAATAATGCAAACACAGTATGATAAATACCTGATGGATACATGGTCAATAAACGTAGAAGAAAGATTGACTCTTCTTTCGGTAGAAGGATGTGGGACCAGAGTGTTTCAAGGAAGAATTCACAAAGGGAAACTTCTTAAGGTAGAGGCTTGAATAACGAGGAAGAATTTCATACATTTCTGATAGTATGAACTCTGGAGCACTTACAATATAACCACTCCCGAAGCTTTTAAAATATGGTTTTGGGCTCCAGCCCAGACCTACAGACTAAGAATCTCTGGCACAGGAGATTGTAAACTTCAGGATCACTGTCCCAAGGTCTAAATTGGGCAAAGCTGTTGCCGGTAGAGACTCCCCTACCTTCTTTTGACTCATCAGCCATTGCTTTTTACTTGAGTGTCAAGGCATACCTTTCAATTCCTACTAATAATTAGCTCTCAGGGGCAGCACAGATAATTTTAAAAGTTTTTAATCCAATATTAAAAATTACATGGCCATGAGTCTACTATTGTGGCCAAGTACTCTCATAATATATTCATGTTTACTGACGTAGAACTGAATTTTATACCTGGGAGTCCATGGTCACTTATGTTTCAGAACAGACTGCACTGGAATAGGTCCCTGCCATGCTAAATATCGACACTCAAGTTATTGCATCTTATGAGGGTCCTGAGGGTGTTTATGTCAGGAGTTGGGAAGGGAGACTCCTGGAAGTCTCAGGACTCCCACTATTTACCAACCAGTATGGAAGTATTATTTCCCTACTTTAATAATTGGTAATGGTATTAGTGTGCTGCCTGAATATTCTCCCATATGTACATAATAAACAAAAGAATGAGATAAAACATGAAGAGTTCAGTAAGGTGTTTATGTTCTCCATAAATTGAGGGTTTAAGATGGTATCAGAGGTTATGTATGATCTGCATACTTTAAAATTTTTCTCTCGCAAGAGCAGGGCTAAATAAAATTACTTTTGTTCCTTTTAAAGTTGATAGTCCCCTTTATAGCAACCAAGTTATAGCACTCCTATTAATAATCCTTACTATGTTCTTCTCATTTTGGAACTGGTCAGAATATATTCCAAATTCTCTAGAGTTTACTTTTGTACCTGTCTTAGTTCAGGTGATTGTAGCAAAATACCGCAGACTGGGTGGCTTACACAGCAATTTCTTTCTCACAGCTCTGGAGGCTGGAAGTGTGAGATCAGGATGTCAGCATGGTCTAGTTCTGATGAGAAACGTCTCAGTGTCTTGCAGACAGCTGCATTTTTCCTGTATCTTCCCATGGCAGAGAGACAGAGGAAGGCCCTAGTCTCACCCTCTCTTTCTAAAGACACTGATTTCATCATAGAGACCCTACCCTCATGATGTCATCTATACGTATTATCTAAAGGCCCCGCCCCCTAATACTATGCTACCAGAAGTTAGGGCTTCAATATATGGTTTTAGGACGGTCACAGTCAGCCCATAACAGAACCTTTACATCTTACTGCTGCCTTTCTGTGAGGCCTCAGTTTGGCAGAGACCTCAGAGGTTAGTGGAACATTCTAGACACATGATATCAAGCCTTGCATACTCTTCTGAGATCCTGACAGGACTCCTGGGGCGGTGTCAATATTCTGAACAGTCTTCAAAGATCACTGATATTCATTTTTTAAAAATATTTTTTAATGTTTATTTTTGAGAGAGAGAGAGAGAGAGCACAAGCAGGGGAGGAGTAGAGCGACACGGGGACAGAGGATCTGAACCAGGCTCTATGTTGACAGCAGAGAGCCCAAGGTGAAAATCGAGCTCACAAACTGTGAGATCATGACCTGAGCCAAAGTTGGATTCTTAACCACTGAGCCACCGAGGTGCTCCAAAGCTCACTGATATTCTATACAGTTCTGGACTTCCACTGGCCACCGCCCTCAAGTCCAGCCCTCATCTGGACCAGCTGAGCATGTTGGTTTCTTCCTGCTGTCTCCATGATCCTCCCTCAAGAGCTTAACCAAGTATGACATTGGCTTTTCATGGATGGAAGAAAGATTCAAATACAAGCAGCCATGATGAATATTTTGTGAAATATTTCTTCACACCAAATCATTATGGATGTTATCTGTGCCAATGCTTCTCAAATTCGTGTGTGCATGGGAATCACCTGCGGAGTGATTGAAGAGCAGGTTCTGATTGGATAAGTGGAGGGAGGGGCTGAGCAGCTCCATTTCTGACAAGCTCCCACGTCGCTGCTGTCCACCGACCTACTTTGAGTAGGACGGACTAGACAACAAAATGTTTGGGGATAGTCATGGATGATTAGTTTATATCTACTGAATTTGGATTGCAGACCCCAAATTCAGAGACTTTTTAAGAGCTTTGCAGCTTCTCATTGCTTCTCAGAGACAGCTTTTTAAAGCCACTTTGTAGTGTGCTCACAAAATTTTGCCATGTGGGGCAAGGTACAGAAAGGCAAACTATGAGGAAGTTAAATGTTTTTCTCTATGAATCTAAGTTCAGATCTCTGAACTTCCGTAACAACCCATGGGACCACGCATCACCTCACCTGAGGAACATGGAGCCCCAGGGAGCCTCTGCCCCCAAACGCCACCTCCATGAGCCAGCCTGTGGCCAGAGGCTGCACCAAAATGCAGATTGCTTACTCAGAACAGGAGACAGAAGATGGAGTGATAAAAGTGAACCTAAAATAAAAATTAAAAAGCACACTGAGAACACCATGTGAAATGAATGCTTGTAAAACTGTCTGCAGCAGGAAGAAATAGAAGAGTTTTATTAGGTGATGAAAAAACACTGTAAACTTCATGTGAAAACATTCCAAGGTTGGGTCTTGTGTAGTTTATATAAAAGAGGAAACTTAGTAAGACTCATTTTAATCAAATGAACATCAAGGAGCTATAATCCCATTTATACCTGAATTTGAAATAGGTTATTCTCTTTCTCTCTCTTTCACACACACACAGACACACACACACACACACACACACACACACACACACACACTGGTGCACTTTCTTAGTAACCTTGTTGCACAGTTTTTGAAATGCTCAGGTGCTTGCTTTTCTGGTGGCAGAATCCCAAGAAGGCAGAGGCATGCCACCATTTATGGTTCTCAGATATGCTTTTGTGTAAAGTGCTATAAATAATTCTACACCCTGTGAAGTGGTGATTCTCCACTTAACCTCAGTCCTTTCCTCTTCTGCTCACCTCTGTTTTGGTGGAGGAGTTAAATCACTTTCAATTACTAAACTCTGACCAGGAAGCAAGGCAGAGGATTTCAGGTGTGGTTGGAAACGCTGGCTTTTTTTTTTTTTTTTTTTTTTTTTTTTTTTTTTTTTTTTTTTTTTTTTTTTTTTTTTTTTTTTTTTTTTTTTTAATTGGCTTGCTCTCCCTGGATGTGCCTGAGATCACTTTTGGAGGGGAGCTTTGTGGTCTCCAGGGCAGTCTACCTGAGACTCATTTCCACACATGAGTCCCTGGGTGGTCGGCAAGGAAGAGGCAGTGGTTTGCTGGATAATCCATCGGGGAGAGGATCAAAGACCCTTGCTGATGAGTGGGAGGATCTGGGAGTAAGAGAAACATCACATCTCCAGGGTTATTACTATCATTCAAAACTGTGGCACAGCAGTGTGGGTGGCAAGAAGGACTCAAGGGAAAAAACCCAGGGGGGAGCTCAGCTAGAGCAGACAAGGCAATGCCTCCCAACACCTGCAGAGCATTAGAGTCACTGAGGGGTGTACCTGTGATTGTGGAGCTGGGGGAGGAGAGGATATTAAAAAAACCCAAAAGTATCCAGCCCCACACCCTCTTTAGGGGCAGGACCCAGGCATCAAATGTTTTCAAACCCCTAATCCCCTCCAAGTTTTGACCTTGTAAGAGCAAAGGGGAGTTTGGGTCTGGAAGGTGGGGGATAGCATGTGTGGCCAACCATATTGGTAGTTTGAGTGGGACAAATGAGCAGTTACAAGTGAGAGGGCTCAGCATTTTCTATCTGGGGATGACAGAAAGGTGGCAATGAAAAGGAAATAAAAACATATGAATCTGTTTATAAGATGTTTTGGGTAAGCTTATCCATCAGGCATAAAATGAGGAAAAAACACAATCTATATGATCAAAGTGCTGAAGATTCTTAACTTGTTTGAACTGGTTCTAAAATTGACAAAGGCAGGCTAGATAGAAGAAAGGAGGAGAGCCAATGTTTTTAATGATTTGTATCTCCCTTCCATAACCTGGCCCCTGAGATCATGGGGCAGATATTAGGGGTCCACCATTCCCTGACCCGCTGGCCTTTGTACACCTGTTTAGGACTGAACATAACACCTGCATGGCCTTGGCAAAACAAGGGGGTTATTGGAGTAAGAAAACCTGAAGGTGTATTTAAATCAAGAAAAGTCTGTAATCAATAAGGAACAACTTGATACAGTGGATTTGACCAGTGCGATTCCCTATTCAGTCTTTTCCTGTTAGAGGAGATAGTGAAATGTGGTAGCACACCTTTATATATAACTGCTCAATACATCTTAAGATCGAGTACAAGTAAAATAACCCATGTATTTTCAACTGAAAGATGGTCCAATTAGACTTTCCTGAATGAACTTTTAATTTCAGGCACTTTTTTGGATATATATCTTTGAGGAATTTTATTTACTTGATTTCTGAATGAAGTACTCACCATGTAACAATGAATCCATCAGAAGACTTTAATTTTCCTGGCAGGGTTATTTTCTTAGGTGACTGATTATCCTGATGTTCTCAGCAGCACAGGGAGGTTCTGAGGCCGAGGTTAACACTTCGGATTCCTGGATCCAGTCAATTGGATCCTGTTCTGCCTTATTCCACCCCAGTCCCCATGGACCATTAGACAGGTTATTGCTTTGTGAACATTCCTTTTTTAACATTCAAGGACTTTAGGAAGTTTTCTCATTTAGTATAAGAATTTGGGTGTGCCCTGAAGATGAAAAGAAATAGATTTATTTTACAAATGATCCCTAAATTATCTTCTATACTTGAGCAAGGATATGTAGTTTTGATATTTCTTCTGAATGTTTCATTCATCTTTTTGCATTTCTTTTAGTCCCTATTTTTCTCTCTCCCTGATAATGAGCCTAATCAAAGTTTAGCAAAGTTGGGGCGCCTGGGTGGCTCAGTCAGTTAAGCATCTGACTCTTGGTTTCAGCTCAGGTCATGATCTCACGGTTTGTGCATTCGAGCCCTGTGTAGGGCAGAGCCTGCTTGAGATTCTCTCTCTCTCTCTCTGCCTTTTTCCACTCCCTTTCTCTCAAAATAAATAAATAAACTTAAAAAAAAGTTTAACAAAGTCTATAAATTGTTAAAATTTTGTTTTTGTATTTCTAGGCACTAGGTTAAGCTTACCAAAAAGTGTTAATCTCAGCGTCTCCACAAGCAGTGAGATGAAAAGCCCTCAACTCAGGGTAGGCAGTTAGTGTAGTCCTGTCCCATTGTGATGTTCAGAAAACAGTTTTCCATGGCAACCATAATCCCCAAATGCAGGGCTGTGGATTTCACTCAGCACCAGTTAAGTGATGCAAAAGGATATGAGCATCAGTGACAGGGATGCATTTCAGATGGCACCTCAGGTAGTCAGGCTTTTCAGTGACTCAGCCTGATAAAAGAATGTTCTCAGACTGAGGGCACTGGTCCTGCAGGCACTTCTTTCCTTTACTGCACGTGGGTTCACCACGCATATTCAGAATCTGATACTCATGTGGTGCTGGGGAAACAAGAGTGAAGAGAAGGGTCCATGCCCCAGTATGGCAATAAGCATGTCAAGTGACATACAGTAACCTGGAATATGATCACAGCATCGTGGACATCCAGAGAAGGCTTCAGCTGTTTAGCTTTTCTATTCACAGAGCCCAATGCAGGGCTTGAACTGAGGAACCGTGAGATCATGACCTGAGCTGGAATCAAGAGTGGATTGTTTACCCAATTGACCCACTCAGGTGCCCCGGATTTTTTAAGTAGGCTTCATGCCCAGCACAGAGCCCAGTGTGGGACTTGAACTTATGACCCTGAGATCAAGACCTGAGCTGAGGATCAAGAGTTGGATCTTTAACCCACTGAGCCACCAAAGCGTCCCTTGGAAAGATTTTTTAAAGTTGACTTTTATTGAATGAAAATGAAAGAAGGATAAGGCAAAGTTGTTCAATGGAACTAATTTTCCTCTTGTTTGTTCCACCACTTTGAGGGGAGGGAGAGTTGTAGCGTAGAACTGGGACAACTTCCTGTGACAGGAGTGAGAGACCCTGCAGCTGGGAGTGTGCCCAGGTAGGTAGACACATGCTTCTAGATGAATGTTGCCTTCCTGCTCAGCTCTTGATTCTATGGCACTCAGTGAAACTGAATGAAGACAAGAGTATAAAGTGCATACAGTTGGTCAAAATTGTCAAAATAGTCATTAGCAGTGAATCTTGACCTCTTGAAAGCAGTTTGCAAGAAATGAGCTGATTATTCTATTTATATACTTGTCCTTGAACCTGCTCATTAGAATGATTCTTCTCTAAAACACGTATTTCAGAAAATCAGAATGTAAGAAATAGTGTTATTTGGTAGTAAGGTCTCCAAATTATTTTGATTTTGCACTGTTATCAGTAACATACATTTATGCGTATTCCAATAGGTTTATTTATAAATTATGTACATTGATAAGCAATACATGTATATTTATTTTTATGAATAAATTTAATATATTACTGATACTTATAAATTATATATGTGTTCAATTTTACTAATACATGTTTTAAAAATATGTAACATATAAAATTTAAAAGAATGGAAAACAAATAGAAATGAGTTCTGACATTTCCTTTACAGTCACTGAAGACTACTTTGGACACACTCTGGGTACATACTCTGCACTCAGGACACCAGCCTAGAAAACTGTACAGAGTGGAGAGAGCAAAACTACATTTTTAATACTTGCCCGTTTCGGGTCCCCTTTCTTCCCTATGTCATTCTAAGTGCATCGATGGATTATTATAAAAGGAATCCATATGCACATACACAAGTATTTATTAAGTGAAAGAATAATGAGTAAATTTGTGTGAAATGAGGCCTTCCTGCTCATCTTGGTAATCAGTGTGAATTTAGCAGGGGAACATAGTCTCTGACATGATTTTTATCCATTAACAGAGGGGGATGGTAATCCTCACAGAAACATCATACTTGATAGCACTGTTACGTCCTTTCTCATCAGTAGAAACTATGTTCATCTCTGGACAAGATGTATCTACAGACTTGTGTTTCCTATTTTAACAACTTCTATGCATAATACAGAAACAAAGTGAAAACTCTTTGTACTGAAGTTGCTGTCCAAAAACAGAAAAGGAGAAATACAACTTCTGTGTTTTGGAAACTCTTCAGTTCAAAGTTCCTCTAGATGTCAGTATTACATAGAGAAATGAAAATATAATGGCCTGTGGCAATGAATAAAGGCCTTCCTACCTTATTAAAATGATAAAACATATGTGGCATGTAATTGACAAAGAAAAAAACAGCCTCATTTGGAAGCTTGTTTCTAATATCCTCAGAATTGACAGCTTCTGTTGGTCAACTCAGACTGTTCCACCCAAAGAATGTTAGCACAATTGGTGGTCATTTGCCACCAACACCCGGATGACCTTAGAGGCAAATATTCATCAATTTGGCACTCCATGGAGTCTCACCACCAAATTTTCAATTTTACATATTTTGATGAACTGAAATTGATTGATACATAACCAGTTTTCACTATTAAGTCCACCTATGTTCATGTCATCGAGAATAAATTCAGAGCACAATGCCTATCCACCAGGAGTTTTCATTTCAAAAGAGAAATACTGAAAGACACTGAAAGACAAAATTATACAATATCTTAAACACAATTTGTTAAAGTATCTTATTTGACTAATTTGACTTATTTTCTAAGTTGGACTTAAATTCTCTCTCTCACCTCTCTTCCATGTTAATTCTAATCTTTTGATGACAAATATTTATTTTTTCTCTCTGCTAATTTGTTTCAATTTTACACCCTGTCTCTTAATTGTCTTTCTTATCTCTTGTGGTATTGCTGTGTGATAGATATTCAATTAATACTAACAACATATCTTGCCTATAATCTATATTTTTTTCTAAGTGACAGTACAATGTAGTAATTAAGAAAGAGCACAGAATACAGTTGGCTACGCGTCAGACTTCAGCTCAGGTCACAGGCTGGCTTGTGAGTTCGAGCCCTGTGTTGGTCTCTGTGCTGACAGCTCAGAGCCTGAAGCCTGCTTTGGATTCTGTGTCTCTGTCTCTCTGCCCGTCCCCCACTCTTGCTCTCTTTCTCTCTCTCTCTCTCAAAAATAAATAAATATTAAAAATTTTTAAAAATGAAAGAGCACAGAATGAAGTAGGCAGCTGATTGATAATCCTTGGTTAAACTATTTCTGAACTATATAACCCTCAGAAATTACCCAATTTCTTACAAAATGGGGCCAACAGTGTCTCTATCCTAAAGGGTTGCTATGAGAATCAACAGAATTAATAACATGCTTAGAAATGTGCCTGGTATGTAGACAGGGCTTAGTGTATATTAGCCACCATCATCATTAGCATCATCACCACTATCATTATCATCGTCGTCATCAGCATCATCATCATCACCACTACCATCATCATCACTGACATCATCACCACCACCATCATCACCACCATCATCATCACCATCAATCACTATATCCCAGTGTCTGGGCTAAGTGCCAGAGACTCAAAGATGAATCAGTCTTTATGCCATTTAAGGCCTACAAGCTAGTGGGAAATTGACAGGAAAAAATGTTTAAAAGTGTTGGAAGTGATGCTGGGATGGGCATGTAAACTGAGTGCTGTGTGCAGAGGAGAGAGAAACTGGCTTTGCCTGAGGAAGTTGAAGAACATTTTTCCTGCTCTTTCACTTAAAGAGGAAGTTACAGACTCCAAGGCTCTCATCTCTAATTTTAGTTTTACACAAATTACTAAACATATCTCTGTGTTTCCAGGTTTCTATCTGAAAAATGGAAAAGCTCTGAACCTATGGGACTGCCCCTTGGATTATTTAAAAGTACATTTGCAGTTTGTCTTGAAGACCCCAAGCTATGCTAATACAGCGGCTCAAGCTTGCAAGTTACCCTAAGGCAAATTTTGTTCTCTTTCCAAAGAAAAGAAGACTGATTCTTTAGGCATCCATAGAATTTCATTAATTTACATTGCATAACTTCAGAATTTGTGATAATTTGGGTGGATTGGACTAATATTTACCATTTATGTGGTATTTAAGAAAAGTCTGCTATGCAAATTCAGAGAAACTAGCATCTGAGAAGGATGTTTATCTGCTTAAGAAAAGAGCCATCTGTTCTAAGCAATGTGAAAGCTCATTTATGAAAGTTTATTTCAGTCTTCTGCTTTCTGGCTTACAAAACCTATTCAGACATATCCTCTCATTTTCATTTGATTTATATGTGAACCATATCAAGACAATATAAACAGAGGTCAGCAGTGATATATATATTATCAACATCCTTTAATCTATTCTTGAAGATGGGCCTTCTTTTACAAACAATGCCAGAGTTTAACAGAATTTTTTTCCAAATGGTGAATTCATTTGTTTTCAAATACTGTAGTCTATACATGAAATGAAGGATTTCATTAATTCAGACTGTCCTGCTCTCTAAATTACTATTAATTTTAGTGTTTTTTTCTTTTTCTGTTTTTGAGTCAGTGGTTTTTAATCTGGGATGATTTTGCCTGGGGGGACACTAGGAATTTTTGGAGATATTTTTGAATGTTACCGCTGGGAGGGAAGATACCATCGTCATCTGGTGGGTAGAGGACAGAGATGCTGCTAAACATTCTATAATCCTCGTAACATTTTCCATGACCAAGAATTATCCACCCCATGTGTCAATAGTGCTGCGGTTGAGAAACCCTGATGTAATTAATATGTGACTTCAGTTACTCAATTGTGTATCCACAGGCCAAGGAGAAGTCACGGTCACACCCTGGCCTGAAGGAAATGACACCTGTCAAGGGCAAAAGGACATCGGCCCTCACAGGTAACATCTTTAGAAGACTAGATATTCATGGATCAAGAAAGCTCTGTTATAACAGTCTGTTGTCAATCTTCTTATCCTGAGGGAGTCACAGCCCAATGTCGGGAGAGGTGCTGTTAGAACATCTTTATTTGATTGGCTTTGGGTCCTACTAGTTACTAACTACAAAATCTTTGGGAACACAACTGTCAGTCAATTGGTCATGTTCACTTCTACTTTGCTTTTCAAAAGCTTGTATCTTCTAATAAAAAAGAAACCTGAATAGAAATGCCATTATGTGAAGACAAAATTATACTGATCACATGCGTCCTCCATTAAAATATTTTGTGGCTTTTAGAGAGATCTTCCCAGAAGAACCAGCTCTCCTCTGAGAAAGAAAAGGTTAATAAACTCAACAAGAAAAATTCTGAGAAGACCAATGCCTCTCTAGCTCAGAGAAGTTTTGCCAAATTTCATACAGAAAGACTACAAGACAAGGTAGAAGATTTGGCCCTAAGAAATTCCATACAGTCAAGAGAAAATATAGAAACAAGAGACATTTCAAGCACAGAGAGACTGAACAGACAAGAAAATAATAGTTCTGGAGATGATAAGCAAGCTTCTGTGGATAAAAATGAACGTCCAGTGTTCCAAGGAGAGAAAAGTGGGCTTCGTTCTAAGGAAGACACTAATGAAAGAGAAGTTGAGAAAAAAGGAGAACCAGCAATTGCAAATGAAACAGTGTTGGACAAGTGTTCAAATAAAAAGCAGTATGTTGATAAAATTAATGGTGATCAATTCCATGAAAGGTAGGGCTTAAAGCATCACCCACCTACAACTCATATTTTTGGTACATCTATGTGCTATTGCAACTTAAGGCTATATCAAAAGGATAACTGAAGTGAGTTTTTAAAGCAATGGTTTAGAAAAGTTTCCCAGCTTCTGTGGGTTTTTCTTGGCCATGTTCTCTTGCTATTACTTTTTCTTCTTGCCTGTGAAATTTTCAGACATTTTTATTATTTTCTCCTACCAACTGATAGACAAAGATAATGATTATTATCAATCAATATTTTCTAAAGATCAAGTAAAAAGTTCTTATTTTTAGCATTATAGAGCACATCCTTCCTAAGATCAGGAATTGAATAGTGTTCAGATTTTTCTGTAAATTAAAACGCTAATTCTTAAAAAGTTTACCCACAACATTATACAAAATAAATTGGCTATTTTCCTTGAATATTGTGAGGATTGAGCAAGAAGTAGATTACTGAGTGACTCTTCCTCAACTGCAAAGTTTCACATGTAAATACAGGTAATTATTTAGCCAATTATAACCAGTTACTCTATGTTACGATGGACCACAGAATCTATTTGGAACAGAGTGTCCAAATTATCTGTGAGGCTTTAGAGAGTTACGATATCATTTTTATTTCATTTATTAATAATATATTTGGCATCTAATTATGGAGAAAAATCTAATTTTGTAAGAATTAAACATAACGACTATTGTTTATTAAGAAAGTCCATCGCTGCAAAGACGTGCTTGGTAAGGTCTGGAGCTGTTAAAAATATTGTTGGAAATGGCTTTTGTTTCAGCCTGAAATTAGTTCCATTCTTTCATCAATAAAGGTTTACTCTCCCTGCTGTTAATATTCAGAGAAATGATTGCTTCTTTTATTATACTTTAATTTAGTAATTTCTCTCTTCTATAAGAAAAGTAAGTGAAAAAAATGAAGATTGAATTAGCTAGGTATCCATAAAATGACTGCTCTTGTAAAGGGCCAGTGGACAACTTGCCCTTGGCACAATGGGGTCATCAGGGAGAGTCTCTGGGATCGTAGTTATCTATACCTGTTCTTGTGCTACTTGGTTTGATGGGGAAGCATACTGCTCTATTTTATCCCAAATGCTGAAACAGCCAACTCTCTATCATGAAGCTTATGACCCTTCACCAAAACAGCTTGTTAAGGAAGCTTTAGTTCTAAGAATTTTGACCATCTGAAAGTTATCTCCTTGAATCTTTGAGAGCTGCAGCTGGATTTTATTTTCCAGGTGTATCAGCAATGTAAAAGCCATTTCTACATCACGAATCTCGGAAAACTCAGCAATAGCACCCATTTTCCGGAATGCTGAGCAAGCAGAGCACATTGGCAGCAGCAAGCGGCGGGTGACGGAGGAGTGCTTCATCAAAGAGGACAACAAAAAGAGCAGAATAGATGTAGCAAGTACAGGTGAAGGACATGCATTTAGGACACAGGAAACCAGACAAGCCCAGGGGAGCTTACAAGGCAAACTCCTGGTATCCGCTGGAATTAAGACCTCCAGACAGCAAGATCTGGTGACCCCATTGGGTAGGAAATGGCTTTTGTGTCAGCCTTTTGAAGCTTCTTAACCCTTTTCCAGCAAGCATTTCCAACTAAATTTCACTTAGCCTAACAGCCTGAAGGAGACGTAATGCCATACTGATGCCATTTGTGTTTGTAACTCAATCACCTTTTTTTTTTTTTTGGTTTGAAGAGATGAATGCCACCAAGAGAGTTCTTTCATGACTTCTTTAGTTTCCAGCATATTTATGGTGTGAGAGATGAATGTCTATATCAAGTCAGATTCCTGGAGACTTCTATTATCTGAATTTTTTAAAAATATTAACACTTGGCAGAGTGCCTAGCACAAGATAAGTGCTCAAGAATTATACGTTGAATACATTTAAAGTTCTGAAGGCCAAGTTATTATTTACTCACCTCCCTTTTTATCCTTTGTATGCATGTAAGAAGCTGCCTGCAGTAGATGCTTAAATAAGTAATAGATGGAGAAATGAATAGGTTCATGGAAAGCAAGCCATGGAAAGTAGAAAGAATACTGCAAGAATATTACTGAGTATGTGTTTTAGACCCGATAGGGATGTGGACTAGAGTTTAAACACTTCGGGGAAATTTGAGAGCTGTAGAATATGTCCTTAGCAAGTTTTACTGGTTCTTTTATTTCCAGCCAGGAAAAATTCATCTTTGGGCCTTTAATGTACCTTAAATAAAGGCTAAAATACTCTGGAAAGTAATATATAATAATATTAAACATTTCAATGATGTGAGGAAACTTTTCATCTTTCTCTCCTTGCTTTAATTAAAATAATGGATATTATCAGTGGTGCCTTTTTTAAAAATGGATCAAACAATTTCTCACATTTGAATTTTCATTTTCAGGCTTGAGAGAATCACCTGTGTGAACAACATTAGGGTTAGAGATTTTCAATTACTATGACATTTTGAAAAGTTGTCCTGAAGATGGTATAAACCATCGTTTCTTGGTCCTGACATTCTTTCTCAGATGTCAGGTTTACCTTCATGAATTATAGACCATAATATGAGATAAAAGCATATATTCCCAGGATTATTAGGAATAAAATAAATGGTCCATTTTATTATTAAATGAGGAACATTTTATTCTAGTTTTTTAAAAATGTTTATTCATTTATGAGACAGAGAGAATGAGGAAGGGTCAGACAGAGAGGGAGACACAGAATTGGAAGCAGGCTCTAGTCTCTGAGCTGTCAGCACAGAGCCCAATACAGGGCTTGCACCGATGAACCATGAGATCATGACCTGACCCAAAGTGGGACGCTTAACCTACTTAACCATCCAGGCACCCCTTGCAACATTTTATTCTGAGGCCCAACTGTGGTGCCAGAAAGAGGTTTGACTGCTTAACAAATGGCCCTTCTTTTCCTCTTATCTTCTAGATGATGTCCTAGCTCCTCCTGCCCCCTTTAATCACCGTATCGTGACAGCCAAACAAGCAGCAGTCAACAGTTTTTACACTGTGAGCAGAACGGAAATTTTAGGAGGGTAAGTAATGCTCAGTTTTAATCCTCTTTCAACAAAAGAAGAGTGTTTTCAAAGAGACAGATCTTGAGGATTTCATAAGTGTTTTCCACTTTTGACCTGAGAACCAGAAACATCATAAACAAACATTTTAAGAGATTTTAACCATTTCTGAAGATCACCACTGATGTCAGAAAGGTTGATGTGGGGACAGTGACTAAACTCCACATTTATTATCTGCTTTACTTCCCATGTTGTAATGTCTGAAAGTGGGACAAACCCCATGTGAGTCACCAGAAGTTTTAGAAGCTGTCCAAAACTTGAAAACGGAGACACTAAATGTAGAAATGAGTGAACACAGTGTATTTCTTGTGGCATATATTAAATCTTTTTTATCACTGTTGTTGGTTTTCCATTTACGTTGTTACTGGATTAATTACTATTATTCATTTAAATTGATTGCTTCCCTCACTGAGTTCTAAATGCACACTCTCTCCCTGAAGAAGGAAGAGTAAAGTCCACTAGGGACCAAGTTTATTACTAGGGGATATTCCTCTTCTATGTCAATCACAATCCCCGTTTGAAATCTTGTCATTTAAAGTCTGAAGAATAAAGCTTACTGCTGTCAGAATATCTATGTGAAATAGCAAGAGGAAGCAGACCATTTATAATAATAGACACAAAATTTACTTACCAACACATAGAAAATATGCATAGTGACTATCATGCATGTTTCTGTATTTGGTCAGTTGGGGTTGTGGTCAATATTTGTGAAGTCTCTTCTTCCTCTTCCTGTTCCATATTTCTTCTGCCCTCTGCCATGGAGAACCACCTGAATATTTTACTCCACAGCCTGCTTAGAGAGAATGCCCCTCAAGACTGCAAGGAAGGGCAGAGAGAGAAATGGGAACTCTAACATGTGAATAGGTGCATGGGAGTCTTTAGGATGACTGCACGCAGAAGCTCATTTGGGTATTCAGGGACGTCAATGGCAAGCGAGCAACTGTTTCTCTGAAGAACAGTTTTTTTTGCAGAAGAGGCTTTGTGACAGTTCCCAGGGCTTTTTCTTAATCAGTAGCCATATGTGAGGTACCTGGGGCTGTGTTTATGTGCTCCAGTAAAGAGACTGCATCTGGAACAGTAGTTGGAATTAAAGTCATCACTTGGTTTTGTTTACAGTAATACCATTCTCTAAGACCCATCTGTTTCTGCACAGGTGTGTAGCTGAGTTGAATCGGATATGGTGGCAGTCACCACCCTGCCTTGTCAGTTATGGCCACCACCCTCACCTCTGCAGTTCTCCAGAACTGTGGTGGACCTTAGGTTCATAGTGTTGTTCATGAAGCTTCCCCTTTCTCCCCTGCCATGATAGCCACATTGCACAAGCAGACACCTGTGTTCTATTTTACTACATCATGAATCAAAACAAGAAGTAAAAATTTTTTTAAATGTTTATTTATTTATTCTGAGAGAAAGGGAAAGAGAGTGTGTGCACATGTGAGAGGGGGAGGGGCAGCGAGAGAAGGAGAGAGAATCCCAAGCAGGCCCCACACTGTCAGCGCAGAGCCCAGTGTGAGGCTCCATCTCACAAACTGTGAGATCATGACCTGAGCCAAAATCAAGAGTCAGATGCTTAACCGACTGAGCCACCCAGGTGCTCTAAGAAGTCAAATTTTAAAATTGTTCATGAGTGTGCATTTCTGTATGTGATCACATTTGTAAGAAGCTGTCCTTCATAGTATATATAAATTTATATCCAAGCTAAACTGTTGAAAATATTATAGGTGATTATGTAATAATGTATTTTTATTATATTTATCTATATGCAATATTGTTATTACTTTATTTGTATGTAGTTTCCAAGAATAATTTTACATTCCTCACCTGTAGATTTTATTATTCATATGCTTACAAAGCCTAGCTTATTACATTCATATGTATTAAAAAAGATTCCATTTTTTCTATAACAGAAGTTCTCAAATTTTAGGGGCATATGAATCACCCAAGGACTTTGTGAAAATGTAGATTCTGGGGCCTCACCTTGGATTCTTGCCTCAGTAGTTCTGGGTAGGGTTGGGAAACCCCTCAGAAGAGTCTGATGACTATGACCTATAGACACACCTTGACATTGTTTTACAAGTTTATTGGCTAGTAATGCATAGTAGATGCATTAATACGTTTGCTCATTCAAACCCCAAAAGAGAAATTCCCTGACAACCCCATCTTCCACTTGGCTTCACTTCATACTGTACCACATGCTTTTCTTTGGCAGGGGACGCTTTGGTCAGGTTCACAAATGTGAAGAGAAAGCAACAGGTCTCAAGCTGGCAGCCAAGATCATCAAGACCAGAGGCACCAAGGATAAGGTAAAGGCCGTGCAACATGGATCTCTCCTTACCCTCAGCTTCACTTCACTAAAGCACCATTCCTTCTTCTTAGGATGAAGTGAAGAACGAGATCAACATCATGAACCAGCTGGATCATGTGAACCTAATTCAGCTCTATGATGCCTTCGAGTCTAAGAATGACATTGTGCTGGTCATGGAGTAGTAAGTGTTCTCCCAGCCCCCTCCCTCCCCTGCACCACTGCTTGCACGTATCCAGAGCATACCTTAGAATCCATGACTTTGTGGCTGCAGCTCTGTCCTGCTTCATAAGTCACTAGATCCATGCTTGGTGCACCCCTGATTCTGACTGGTGTATATTAGACAATCACATCAGTTTCAGAAGGAAAATTCTTAGGAACACACATCTTCATGTGTGATTTTACTGAGATGAAGTAGAATGACAACATAGATGTAGCTTTATATCTAAGTTATACTGTCAAATATCCAGATTAAATATTATTCTGGTTAACCTGGAGGAAAGTGATTTTTGACCTATATTTTATTTTCAACCCAACTGTTAATACAAGGTTCACATCAAATTATTAATAATTAGGGCTAAGAAACTTCCATTTAAATTCACTTTATTTTTTAAAAATATTTTAATGTTTATTTATTTTTGAGAGAGGAGGAGAGAGAGAGAGGGAGACACAGAATCCAAAGCAGGATCCAGGCTCTAAGCTGTTAGTGCAGAGCCGGGTGCAGGACTCAAACTCACAAACTGTGAGATCATGACCTGAGCCAAAGTTGGGGGCTCAACTGACTAAGCCACCCAGGAGTCCTTAAATTCACATTTATAGAAAATTAATACATATTTAAGTTAGAAAATGAGTAGTTTTAATTAACGCTGAATTAGTATTGTGATGCAGTTCATTCTTTTCCTCTGCTTGGGGTTTTGTTTATCATTGTGCAATAGAAATTTTGGATAATAAAAAGTCTAGCATCAGAAGCACATAGAAGCACTTTAACACTGAAATTAGTCTGAGAAGACCCAGTTTGACATTCATTTGGTATCTGGTTTACTCTCCCTGCCTTTATAGTGTCTTCTTTATCTTCTATATGTTAGAGAATGGCAGATGTGGACTCACTCCAGAGCTGCAGCCACTGGATGACAGGGACCTTGAGACTTTCCAGTTGTGAAATTGGTGGTAGCTAAAATTAAGGCCTTCAGTGTAAGCATCATCTAACTGAGATAGCGATGGAGGTGGAGAAATCACTGTGTGCACACATCTGTTAGAAGAGTTAGGGGAGCTTAAACACCCAGCTGCCACTACAAGAAATGGCTGTGTACATTAAGGACTCAGGACTTTGATCCTCTTCCCTCTGCAGCGTGGATGGAGGGGAGCTGTTTGATCGCATCATCGATGACAACTACAATCTGACTGAGTTTGACACCATTCTGTTCATCAAGCAAATATGTGAGGGCATAAAACATATGCATCAGATGTACATTCTCCATTTGGATCTGAAGGTAGAGCATGTTTTGTATGGAATGAAGTATAAACCCCTCCTACCCCTCTCCTCCTGTGGATCACTGGGCCCTGTCAGATACTATATGCCAGCTTGGGAAATTAATGCTATTATGAGGTGTTATGTTTGGGAATTAATAAAAATCTGGATTCTTAGTATCAGCTCCCCATTCCCAATTTTTGTACCCCCCAATATTTGCATGTTTCCATCTTCAGAGACTACTATTCAGTTTCTTATAATTTGCCTGTGTTAAATGAATCCACATAGGATATGCTTTCCCTAAAAGTTTGGAATTAAAACCATCACTATCACCACCATCATCACCCCCACCACCACCCACCAGCACCACCACCACCATGGTTTCCTTGTGTCTTTCTCATTTTTACAATAAGTAGGTGGGAAGATTTTAGCTAACTCAGAATTCACTGGTGGTAGCCAAACTTTCCATTTCCCCAAGCATCCCAAGCAGTCTCAAGATTTTATAGGAGGTTCTGAACTTTAGGGATTTTGTTTTCCTGTGGGCATGCTAAAGCACTGAGTAGAAACCTATGGCAGAATGGGGTACAGGGCAGCCAGAAAGAAAGGAGGTGCTAAAATGCTAAGGAGCAGAGAAGGCTGGTGGCACCCCGATGGATATAGTGGGGAGCCTATGTGAGTGGTAGGGAGCCAAACCACCTTCCTTTCTCCTCTTATTTAATGACCCTTCCCTTTTGATCTCTTTCATTATGAAGTGCCTAGAATTGGACAATACATAGTTACAACCCAGGCTCAATAACTCTGTTCAGCTCTAATATCAAGGCTAAGTATCATAACTTGCCTCTTCTTATGTGGCTCAATTATTTTCTCATTTCCCTGTTTGCACAGCATGACCATGAGATAAAATACATATTCTATAGAACATGCCATCTATTGCACGTCATAGGGGATTGTAGAACTAAATAAATCTAACATTTTTAATAGGCTTCCATGGTCCTCTCGTCTTATAACTTGGCTTCCCTCACTGTCTTGATTTATATGCATTACCTCTCCCATTCACAGGGAAGGAGGAAGTGATCTATAAAAGACAAAGTCATAGGTTAAAAATCATTAGCAAAGCCCTTGGCTACAAACTGAGTTCAATAATGTGTATTTTCATGGAGCATTTTCAATGAGTGTAGATATTCTGCAGATATCCCTAAAGGGATTTGATTGGCAACTGAAACTAAGACTTGACCTATCATAAATCAAATAGCTCTGTATGTGGCTTCATAACATTGATTGAGGACTTCCAATGGGCAATTTTAGTTATGGCTTGTAGGTAAAGATAATAGTAAAGGCGAAAGCTGGATGGGTCATTAAGGACCACTCATCCCTTTCAGAAGTCTCCTTGGAAGGAAAAGGGCCAAAAATATTAAGAGTGCTTGTCACTACAGAGGATAGATTAGAGGTAACTTAAAAATGGTATCCTTTATATTTTTCTGTATTTTACAAATCTCATTCAATCAATATGCTCTAATTTCATAACTAGAAAAAAATTAACTTTTTGAAGTACCCTCAAAATGGTTTCCTTACATTCTGTAAATACATTTTTATGTCATAGTATTCTTTCACAATTGAACAGCTTTATGTATGATTGATCAGTTATTTGAGCATGAAACTAAATGTTCTTATACAGCATCCACTTCTCTATAAATAGCTTTTACTTGTAGATATCAGTTTTAGAGATATTTTAGAAAAGGGCTTCCAAAGACATGCCAACCAAACGGGCTATTGAATATTGCTAAGGAGACACTATTACATCATTTCATAAAGTGCTTAGTTTCTGATCTCATTTGAACTTACTCTCCACCGGGACAAACAGGGAAGGACAGCCATGATGCCACCTAAAGAATAAGACATAGGATCCTAGGGATTCAGCAACTTAGCTAATGCACCCCAGCTCTTAGGGAAGAGTTGGGATTAGACCTTGAGAGTTCCAAGCAATTATTTGAATACTATTTCTATTTTTTAATGGATGACTTTGACTTTATTACTTTAAAATTTTTTAATTTATTTTGAGAGAGAGAGAGCAGCAGTAACAGAGAGGGAGAATCCCAAGCAGGTTCCACACTGTCAGTGCAGAGCCTGATGTGCGCTTGAACTCATGAACTGAGAGATCATGAATTGATCATGAATTGAGTTGAAACCAAGAGTCAGATGCTTAACCGACTGAGATACCCCGACAGCCCGGATGACCATGGCTTTAAATGAAATTCTTTATTTTTCTCAGACCTCAGTTTTTCAGACTTAACAAATACGGTACACTTGTAAGACATTCTATAAACACTGAGTTCCATGCAGCGCTACTATCTACACTTTTCCCCCTTCACTTCAAGACCATTGGATTGGCAGAGCAAAGTCTATCCAGAGTCAAACTCCAAGGGAACACTTAGTCAAGAGTTTAGGTATTGAGAACAAACTCAGCAAAACTTTGGAATTGCTGAGAATGAAGAATGAACATGGGGGAAGCCTTCCTCTTACACATGACTTTCCCAAAGACTAAGCGCAAAGGGAAAATCTGGAGGTCAGGAACGTTCATGTTATATTGCATACTCAGTGTGGCTGTTTAAATGAATCAGACCATTTCTCCTGGAACTCATAAATCCTTGGGAAAGATATTCCTGCAAGAAGGGGAAATTCATACTTAATAATTTTACGGGAGCAGATGTCAAGTCTGAGACAGCCTCCACCAGTCAATTTGGAAGGTACTGAAGCAGCCCCCTTGTCTTTCTTTCCTCAAGGAGGCCTCTGCCTGAACTCACACATTATGGTAAACTGCAGAACCAGTTAGAGGGACAGGCAGGGTAATGCAAGGTTGGCAGGGTACCCACAACCTCATCCACCACATAATTAAAGGAGAAAATACCCACACAGACAAGCCAGACCCAAAGTGAAAGGCCTGATATGTTTTTCCTGAGCATCGTTGTATTTTTAGTTGTGGTTCGAGGACAATTTGAGTGAATGATGGTTGTTTTCATTGCTAATGTGTCTCTTTCTCCTGGCAGCCTGAGAATATCCTGTGTGTGAATCGGGATGCTAAACAAATAAAAATTATTGATTTTGGATTGGCCAGAAGGTATGTGTATTTGGACATAAATATGAACGAAGGTAGAGAGCATGATGGGTGCCCTTTCTTTGCAAAGATAAATCTGATACACTTCTTGGTTTTATACTTTTATTTAGAATTAACTTAACAAAAATCATATCCCAGTCTTACCTTGCTGATTTTGGAATTGAAATGTTTAGAAGTTTCTACAGTGCATCTAAGAAAAAAATTTTTTAAAAACTTAAAATCTAATACAGTGAAGTTATTAAATTTGAAGACATTAATTTAGAATTTGTAACTTGGTCTTAGTCTTTTATAATTGTTCTATCTGTAAAGAGAAGATTTACTTTTAAAAAACAGTGTAAACAAGAAGGCAAAGGGTTCTGGTATACATAAACTTCTTAAGTGAACAGAGTTTACGTGTACTTCAGCACACTAATGTTGAATATAAAATGGATGTAAATTATTGCATTTAATTTGTTCATTAATATGGGCTTATTTAAGCCTTTGACATGTCAAAGATTGTATTAGTTTTCCTTTTGTTATAATCCAGGTGTTCTAATTATTCTGACTGGCTTTTCCCACCACTGTCAGATTATTAAGGCCTTAGAGTATGAATTATGACTCTTAAACTCCTGGAATTTCTTTTTTTTTTGCAAATTTTTAACACTATCTCCTAAATATGTAATTTTCTTTAAAGTCTGTGTATTTTAAATTTGCTGTATGACTGAGGTTATTTTGTTTAGAAACTGCATCTTTTCAGTTTCTAGGATTGTTGACTTTTGATGGACCTTCTCTATCCCTCCATTTTATTTCCTAAATTCCAGATACAAACCCAGAGAGAAGCTGAAAGTGAACTTCGGAACCCCAGAATTTCTCGCTCCTGAAGTTGTGAACTATGATTTTGTTTCCTTTCCCACTGACATGTGGAGTGTGGGCGTCATTGCCTATATGCTGTAAGCAGATCTCCAATCTCTCTGACACTCACAAATATGAATAAAATCCCTAAATTAGGTCTTTTAAAAATAAATAGCACCATGACATATTGAGTCGCTTTCTAGGCTCTGTGGATCCTGTGGGTGGAAGGAGTAAATTCTTTCCCTGCACGTCACCTGAAAAAGTAAATGTGTATCTACTTGTAATCACTCCAACCCTCAGGACACCACCCAATACCATAAAAACAATTAAAAAAAATTAAAAACAACTTGCATCCTGATCTCCTAAATGACTAATGCTAGCCTTATTCCTTGGGGTTGACACTTTGGTGTTTGCCCTCTGAGTGTGTGGCAGACTTTAGCAGCTGTAAATGCTTTAAGAAGGAAGTTGTGTTGTCCTTAGAGATTCATATTTCAGTGTAGCTGCTGACTCCATTGCTGCAGGTATTGAATTAAGAGCTAGGGTGGGGGAGGTAGGCATTTTCTTGATTGCAAAAATATATTACAGAATTATGTTTAATTATCAGGTTATTTGCCTTCTCTCAGTTTTAAATGACAGAACCCAAAAAAGCAACCTATTTGTAAAGAGTTTGAAGCTATTTAAACAATGCCCACTCTGGATCCTGTGTCTTACAGACTGAGTGGATTATCCCCCTTCCTGGGTGATAATGATGCTGAGACCCTGAGCAACATCCTGGCCTGCAGGTGGGACTTACAGGATGAAGAATTTCAGAACATCTCTGAGGAAGCCAGGGAGTTTATCTCCAAGCTTCTGATTAAGGAGAAGAGGTAACCCAAGTTTGTTCCAGGCTCTGGAAGAAGGAGAGATAATAGGGAAGCTTGTGCCACCACAATTCATGTGAGATAATCCCCAAATTCCCTTAATGACATCTCCGATGCCTGTGCAAAGTTGTAAATGGAAGGAATTTGATGCTCTTAATCTTGTTTTACTGAGATCTGGGACTGGTTTGGTCCTGAGGCTTGAAAGGGGCTATAAAAACTTCCCTCCTTCTGCTTTTTGCAATATGGCTCTAGCAATTAGGGGCTCTTGCTAGGCCTCAAAATGAAGGGTTTAGGATAAGTTATTTCCATAACCCCTTTCACATCTACAAAGCCCATATCTGGCTCTGTGTAGCTGAACTTTTAACTATCATTTCATTTGAGAATCTACTGTGGGCCAGACTGTGCCAAGTGCTTCATAGACATGTCTTTTAGTTTTTTAAGTTTATTTATTTATTTTGAGAGAGAGAGAGAGAACATAAGGAAGGGGCAGAGAGAGAGAAAGAGAGACAGAATTCCAGTCAGCTCTGTACTGCCATGCAGAGCCCAAGGAGGGGCTGGATCTCATGTCCCTGAGATCATGACCTGAGTCAAAATCAAGGGTCAGATGCTTAACTGAGCCACCCAGGTACCCCTAGACATGTCTTTTAACCCCCATCCATATCCAAGAGGTGAGAATTATCATTACTGTTTTATGGATAAGACTCTAAGTAGTTTGCCTAAGATCATATGGCCAGTAATTGGCAGAACTGATAGTCAAACATGTCAACCTTCCCCTAAGGCTGCACATTTAACTGTTATATATTACATGGCCTTCTATTTTCTGTCATGCTCAAACCACATTAATTCAAAATTCAGAGGATGAAGAAGAGTGATGTTGAAATATAAGGGGTTGCATTTTAGAATTATGGGTAGGGGAAGGACATTGTGATTAACCAGTCAAAAAACAGTTCTGATTTTTTAAAAGTTTATTTTATTTATTTTGAGAGAGAGAAAGATCACAGCAGGGGCAGAGAGAGAAGGAGAGAGAGAGAATCCCAAGCAGGCTTTGCATTGTCAGCATGGAGCCAGATGCTCCATGTGAGCTGAACTCACAAACCATGAGATCATGGCCTGAGCCAAAATCACAAGTAGGACACTTAACCGACTGAGCCACTCAGGCGCCCCCAGATGGTTTTATATCTAAAATATATACTAGTAACAGTATTTAAGATTTTCAAAGCCAAGAATACTTGCTTTGTTGTTTTATTATTTTTAAGGCTTTTAAGTTATTAATAAACTTGATCATGAACAGATAGGAGGGTGTATTTGAGGAGAGGGGATTAAAGAAATATCATGAGCATTGGGTCTGGAGAAGTACCTGACACAAAGGAGGTGCTTTATCTATAATCTGCCAGGAAACGTATCTGGGGCATTAAAAACAGATGTATAAACTCCAGTCCCTGCCTTTAGGTAACACGTGATCTAATAGAAGAGATAAGTATTTTTAAAAAGATATAACCCAATGCAGTTAATGCAAAGTTAGAGTACATTGAAAAGAGTCAGGACTGAGTCCTAAAGTGTAAGGAGGACTTAGCTAGGCTGGGGGTGTCAGTCTGAGGACAGGGGAAATAACAGACATTGGTTTATTTTTTAATGGAAAGGCAGAACAGCTGGTGTTACTATTATTATTATTTGTAGATTACTGAACACCAGGCAGTGGACAAATGGAAAGTGTCAACTCTGTCAAGTCTTTGGTGGCTGAGACCCACATTTACTGAGAATCTATTTTATGGACATATATTTTTTGTGTTATTTGATTCAGTCCTCTGGATTAAATGAGGAAATTGAGGCTGAGAGCAGTGAAGCAGTCACACGGCTAGCACCATACCCTGACTACTCCTTGAGTCTGAGGGTCGCATTAATACCTTAGGAGGTACAATTACACATTTGGGCAGAATGACAACTGGCTGATTATTATTGGGTGGAACTAAGTTCAACACCTGATACCACTATCATAGAATACATTTCTGGATGCAAAACTAAACTTGAAATTGTATTAAGAATTTAATTATTAACACTATGTTATTGCTAACTTTTTAATAGTCAAGTTTCAGAAGTTTGACATTACAGTGCAGAAATAACAATTTTTGGTCACTGTCAGCTATTGGAATGCTTCTGGGGGTCCACTACTGAAAATTTAGGATATTCAACAAAATAGCACTTCCCTCTGAGGTTGGTGGAGTTCCAGAGTTTTAAAAAACATTATATCTGCCTGCTTACGGTCCTACTAATGGTGATGTTGTCACCAAGTTATTAAACTTCATGGACTAAAGTAAAGATTTATCATCTCTTCAAATCTTATACTTAAATATTTGGTATCTGATGAAGCAATTTTATTGAAGCAGTCTACAAACTGAAGCTCCCTGGCTGCTTGAAATTACTTTCTTGATACAGTTTCAGAAGTAGACTCCAGATAATTATCCTCACTTACAGATTTTATTTTGAAAGGTTATTTAGTTTAATGTGATAAACATTAGCACACAAGACAATTTTACCAAACTTAGAATTAGAATATAATATAATTTTTATAATTCTTTCCCATGTTATTTTTTTTAAATTGTATAAACATTTGCTGGCTCAGAAAGGTATAGTTTCTTTGTAAAGGTATCTAATGTATTCTCTCTCAGTGCTTATATTACTCCCTATTTATTTAAGTCTTCAAAATTTATTTTTTAAAAAAAAATTTAATGTTTTATTTACTTCTGAGACAGAGAGAGAGAGAGAGAGAGAGAGAGCAGGAGAGGGTCAAAGAGAGAGGAAGATACAGATTCTGAAACAGGCTCTAGGCTCTGAGCTGGCTGTCAGCACAGAGCCCGACACGGGGCTCAAACCCACAAACCGTGAGATCATGACCTGAGCCGAAGTCAGACGCTCAACCGATTGAGCCACCCAGGTGCCTCTAGTCTTCAAAATTTCTTAATTCAAAAGTTTGTGCTACCATATTATTTGAAAGGTTTAATATACAAATCACTTTTGCAATTATCAAGAATCATTATAACATTTTGCTCTTGCAATAGTAAGTATACATTTATTCTTCCACTGACTGATAGAAATTCAGTTCATGAAGCTCAAACATTGCCTGAGAAATGGTTACTTATATTTGAAAGTAGATGTTCAATTAATAATAAGAATTTTGAATTATTTGCCTCAGTTGTCTTACCACTGCTGTTACCCTGACTGGTGTGATGGTAACCTACAATCATTAATAATAGTTCCAGACAAGGTAGAATTGCCTGTGAATTTGACATTTGGCCATCTGGTCTCCCAAAGGCAATGGCCAGAGCTGAGGTTGAATGACAGATTCAGGCCTCGTTTGGTGTGTCTCTGCTAAAAGCCTTCTGAATCTCCCTTTAGTTGGAGAATAAGTGCAAGTGAGGCTCTCAAGCACCCATGGCTGTCAGACCACAAGCTCCACTCCAGACTCATCTCACAGGTAACCAAGGCTTGTTGCTTTTCCTCTCCTTTTCTAGCTGACCTCTGTCTTTGGATGATCAGAGGCTAGAAGCATCCTAGCCTTATATGGGGTTCTGTCTCATTCATTTCTCACAGCCTTCAAATCTTGTGCTAGTGTTGAATTGCTTAAAATGCTTTTATTGAGCAGTTTGTGTTTCGTCAAATACGATGTTTAGGAGAGTATTGTTTTCAGCATAACTATTATGTTTATTATTCAATCATTATACTCATAAAATAAATTACATCACTGTACTATGCACCCATACTTATATACATACATAGCCTAGGATATATAAACAAATAATGTGTTGAAGAATATATGCTAGTGTACTTCAGGATAAATAGTACTCCTTAAAACAGAACTCAGAGTTTTAACTTTTATGTTTACCTGGTTCAGTCTGCTCTGGCACCAAAAATCTGTACTACTCAAGTTGATCCAGATAGCAAAATAAATATATGTGAAGAAAATTCTTACCAAGACTGAATCAAGATGACCTAAGTACTTGTGTGAGTTTTTTTTTTAATTAATTAATTAATTAGTTTATTTATTTTTTACAAATAGTTTATTGTCAAGTTGGTTTCCATATAACACCCAGTGCTCATCCCCACAAGTGCCCTCCTCCATGCCCATCACCCTCCTTCCCCTCCACACCCATCAGTCCTCAGTTTGTTCTCAGTATTCAAGAGTCTTTCATGGTTTGCTTCTCTCCCTCTCACCCACTATTTCCCCTCTTTTTCTCCCGCATGGTCCTCCGTTAAGTTCCTCCTAATCCTCCTATACGTGAAAACATATGGTATTTGTCTTTCTCTGCCTGACTTATTTCACTCAGCATAACACCCTCAAGGTCCATTCATGTTGCTATACATGGCCAGATTTCATTCTTTCTCACTGCCATGTAGCATTCCGTTGTATAGATAAACCACATCTTCTTGATCCATTTGTCCATTGATGGACACTTAGGCTCTTTCCATGTTTTAGCTATTGTTGAGAGTGCTGCTATGAACATTGGGGTACATGTGCCCCTATGCGTCAGCACTCCTGTATCCCTTGGGTAAATTCTTAGCAGTGCTATTGCTGGATCATAGGGGAGTTCTATTGTTAACTTTTTGAGGAATCTCCACAGTGTTTTCCAGAGGGGCTACACCAGTTTACATTCCCACCAACAGTGTAAGAGGGTGCCCATTTCTCCACATCCTCACCAGCATCTAGAGTCTTCTGATTTGCTCATTTTAGCCACTTTGACTGGTGTGAGGCGGTATCTCAGTGTGGTTTTGATTTGTATTTCCCTGATGAGGAGGGATGCTGAGCATCGTCTCATGTGTCTGTTGGCCATCTGGATGTCCTCTTTGGAGAAGTGTCTGTTCATAGGGGTTGTTTTTTTTGTTTTTAATCTTTTTTCTCTTCAAGGTTCTATTTAAATTCCAGTTAATTAACATACAGTGGAATATTAGTTTCAGGAGTAGAATTTAGTGATTCATCACTTACATATAACAGCCAGTGCTCATCACAAGTGCCTCCTTAATGCTCATCATTCATTTAACCCATCCCCTGCCCACCTCCCCTCCAGCAACCCTCGGCTGATTCTCTGTAAGAGTCTCTATTAGAGTCTGTTTCCAGATTTGTCTCTTTCTTTTTTTTTCTTCCTTTTTTACTAAGTACTTGTTGACAATAATGGAGACCACACTCTGACAACATAGTACAATAAAATCCCTAATCTACTCTTATTGCCTTAATTCCCATTTATGTCCCATAGCTCATCTATCCCTTTGGGACAAATTCCTTTTCGAAGCTTCAGATCCATATATCCCCCTGTGTAACTTGACATTTCCACTTGGATCTCCTCAGTCCTAAACTGTTCTCATCTTCCCCACCTCACCTTGTCTTCCACCATCCTCCTAGAATGGCCCCCTACTGAATGACCTAAACCAGACCTGAGGGCATTTTTGTTGTTTCCTTCCTCTCCCCCAATCGTTGCATCTCATATTTGATTTATCTCCAAGTTATGTACATTATTTTCCCTAATTACTTCTATAATCTGTCTAACCTTGTCCATCTCCTTGGTAATCCTGGCCTACGACACCCCTCATCTGAATTACTACAACAGCCTCCTCCAGACTTTCTCCACCCAGATCCCTATGGATTATACAAATAACACAGAAGCAAAAGTGTAACATTAAGTAACTCGACTAAACATTCAGGATGTTTAGCTGGCCATGTATAGAGAGTCAATAAGCAATGTATGCCTTTGGGCCTTGTCAGGGAAGGTCTGACATAAGCACTGTTAAGATGGCTGTCGTCGTGCCCTGGAGTCATACGCGTTTGATACAGTTTCATTTCCTCCGTCTCTGTACCCCATTCTCCCTACTCCCCAGGGTTTTGGAACAGAGCTTTTTCAGTGACCAACAAACCTTGGAATGACTATGCTTCAGGTACTCATTTTTTCCACATTCAGTTTTTATTGAAATTAACTTTACTTCTAAATTCAGCATCAGTACTAAGTTTTATTTGTGTCTGAATATACCTTTCCTTGATAATTGGTACTGATGTCAAGTAAAAATAGACTTTTTACCTAGTTGGTACCTCACCCAGACTACATAAACTGCTTATTAGGGTTACCAGCTTATTTTAGGCCAATTTTCCACCAATGTATTTTTATCCAAGCTTATTGGTGTCCAAATAACACTTTGACGTGGTAGGACAATATGGAAACCACAACAGATAATTAATGACATTATACAATTTAAAAAGTGCTTAAAATATTTTTTAAACCATATAATAACAAAAATCACCTTTTTGTTATTCTATCCAACTGTTGGTACCTAGGTGAACTGATACTTCAAGAATGATGGCGATTTGAAAAAAAGACTAGAAATTCCACTGTATAAATTCAGTTAACCATCATTAAAGTTATAATTATGTGGCACTGTGCCAGGCACTGTTCTCTCTGCTTTACAAAAATTAATTCATTAATCCACATACCAGCTCTCTGAAACAAGTACTGTTATTATCCTCATATAGATGAGGAAACTGAAGACAAGGGTACTTGTCCAGGATCCCACCAGGAGAAAGTGATGGAGCTAGCTCCCCAGTGTAGAGAGGCAGGCTCTGGAATCTGGGCAGAGTTTCACCACTCTACTATCCTGTTGGATAATGGGCTTTTGGGCAAAGGAGACCTGATGATGTTTCCAGAACTCTTCATGTACAGTACATTTTTGGTGTTACTGAAAGCCAGTATTCAAGATTAATGTATTTTATTTTTCAAGGAAATATTGAAACTAGATTTTTCCAGTAGATTCATTTTTGGGATAATCTTAGTTCTGATATGTTCTATAAAATCAGAATATAACTTTATGTTGAACATTTAACTCCTACCCAAAACTATTTACTATTTAAATTGAAATTCTATTTTAAAAGCCTTTTACAAACTTTTATTTATCCCTTTTAATTGTTTCATGCTTAAAAGCACTTACCATTTCTTAACCACTAAGCATGCCTATAATCAGTCAGTAAATTTAAAAGGGGTTTTTCCTTAGGAATTAAAGCCCTGTAGCTCTCTGCCTTCTGTATTATGCTCTGACATTGCCAACCATCCGTACATAACCCACCTTCCATCAGAAACAGCTCTTGGCTGGAGTGGAACAAAACATTCCCAAATTACAAATCTATTAGAACTCATCAAGTGCCTACTGCAGGCTTAATAAATGCTTTGGGCCTGGAGGAAAGAAAAATGAACAAATATGACATTGTTTCTTTTCTGCCAGAACTAATAAGTCTCTACCTTTCCTTCCCATTCCCAGTGTTAAGACCTCAGCTCATGCCCTTTCTCTAATTTACTGACTAATAAAATGCCATAGGAGCTGATATTCCACCTCTATCCATCTCTTTTCTAATTCACCAAATCATTACTTCAGTAATGACAACTCTGATCATATTACTCCCTCACCATAAATTCTTCCAGTGTTCCCTAACGTGCACACCAAACTAACACACCCATCAGTTCAGCCTGCTCTGATACACCCTGATCTCAGCTGTCCAGTCCTGTCTCCACTACTGCTTCTAGATCAGCCCAAATCCTAGTGAGTGCCTGACACCTACTTTAAATGCCACCTCCTTTAAGATGGTTCTTCTCTTTTTTTTTTTTTTCATTCAGCCCTTTATTTATTTTTTTTGTTTGTTTTTTTTACAAATAGTTTATTGTCAAATTAGTTTCTACATAACACTCAGTGCTCATCCCCAAAGTGCCCTCCTTCATGCCCATCCCCCCCTCCCCCCCACATCCATCAGTCCTCAGTTTTTGTCAGCATTCAAGAGTCTCTCATGGTTTGCCTCTCTCCCTTTCCCCCACCATTTCTGCCCTTCTTCTCCCCCTTGGTCCTCCGTCAAGTTCCTCCTAATCCTCCTATACGTGCAAACATATGGCATTTGTCCTTCTCTGCCTGACTTATTTCGCTCAGCATAACACCCTCAAGGTCCATCCATGTTGCTACACATGGCCAGATTTCATTGTTTCTCATTGCCATGTAGTATTCCATGGTATAGATAAACCACATCTTCTTGATCCATTCATCTGTTGATGGACACTTAGGCTCTTTCCATGTTTTAGCTATTGTGGAGAGTGCTGCTATGAACATTGGGGTACATGTGCTCCTATGCCTCAGCATTTCTGTATCCCTTGGGTAAATTCCTAGCAGTGCTATTGCTGGGTCATAGGGGAGTTCTATTGTTAGTTTCCTGAGGAACCTCCACACTGTTTTCCAGAGGGGCTGTGCCAGTTTACATTCCCACCAACAGTGTAGGAGGGTGCCCGTTTCTCCACATCCTCGCCAGCATCTAGAGTTCTCTGATTTGCTCATTTTAGCCACTCTGACTGGCGTGAGGTGGTATCTCAGTGTGGTTTTGATTTGTATTTCCCTGATGAGGAGGGATGCTGAGCATCGTTTCATGTGTCTGTTGGCCATAAGATGGTTCTTCTCAATCCCCAAACCGGAGGTGCTTTCTTTGTCTTCTTGAACCTCTCTTGTGGCACTTAAATAACTCTTGGAAACTTTTGGAAGAAGCAAAAGTTTTATTGACTCATTTTTGTCCTTATCTGATCTCAGTCTTGACTCTTAGGCTTTGTCAACATGAATATCTGTGGAAGTGCGTTTTGACAAAACACGTGCATATAAAAATGAAGTGTCATTAATTGCTCAGCTCCTTCTGACTCTGAAAGGAAAGGTAGTAATGACAGTGGAAAGTGGGGACATGCTCGAGCCAGACCTTGAAGGTGGGTCAATGTGTCTGCCAGAGGGTTATAAACAGTTTAGGCTTCTAGAACATCTCTTGAAGAGCATTTTCAACTCAGTAGCAAGTTATTGATTCTTCAGGTGTTCTCATATCTTAAGTGAGGAATGAAATGATAAAAAAAAGTAAAAGTTTTAATTCTTCTTGAAATGTCTTCTGGTTTCCCTAGAAGAGGAAGAATTGCTGCTCTAATGAGAAGGACCTTGTGACCAAATAGTCCATGGAAGGCACCCATTTGAAAGGTTGGTCTTGGGTCTTTTTCTGACGAGATGTTTGTGCAAGCCTTAAGAGAGAGTAGAAAGAAAAAAACCAAATATGCATTGCAGTGACTATGTGGGAAGCAGGGCAGTGTTTCTGCTGAGAGGGAGGGCCCCAATTTTAGACTGCTGTGTGTGTAGCCTGGCTCTGCCATTTTCTAGCACAGAAACCTCTGTTTCCTGATTTGTGGGTTGGGGATAGTCTTACTTCCTATGCTTGTTGAGTGGCTCCAACAAGATAATCCAAGCAAAGCCTGGAGACTGGGGCCTGGCACATAGTGGGTACTTGATAATTGGCTCAGTAGGTGCCAGTAATTGAACAGAACCATCTCTGGTAGTCCTAACAATTGTGTGGAATCAGAAGAAGTAATACTTCTTTTGGGTTGATGGGAAAACCAGTCTCAAGAGACCCACAGACTAAATAACTCCCCCAAAGCCATGTAAATGGTAGAGCATGACTTTTCAGGTTATCTCTGAATTTAAAGCCCTGGGTTATTTTTCTTTCCTGAACTGCCTCCTGGTATTGGCCCACTCTTGGACCTGGAGGAATCACCACTTGATAAACAGCCTCTACCCTGCTTAGAATTTTGTCAGAATTATTAAGAGATAGCTTTACACATGAATACCTTTGATTAAATAAAAAAGCTAGCTTAATTTATGCCCTAAAAGAGAAGCTTAACCTCTTATTACAGAGAACTTTTAGAAATCTCAACATATATGTCCTTTTTGGGGGACCACTTACCCTCCAGGAAGCCAGTTCTCTGATTTGGGGCAGTAAGTCTGTGGCCACTGATGCAACTCAATTTTAACAAATGCATGAGACTGATGACTTGTGAGTCTGCATTTTTGCTGCCCACTGTTCTTATTCTTTTATTCTGATTTGTATTTACTCTGGCCCTGAGGCTTTTGTTTGTCTGTTTGACTCTATATTCTTGCAAGCTGCCTTGAAATCTTTTGTGGAATAATATCAGGTAGACATATATCAGTAAATCATAATAAAAGTCACAGTCCAGAGTTAGGAAAGCACTCAGCCTTTGGTGTAAGGGTCATTCCTTCCCAGTCTATCACTTATCTAGAAACCTATGAAACATCAGCAGGAAGGCTTGTGCTTCCCACTTACAAAGACCACTCTCATGTGTTGGTCATAGCAAGGATGGTAAAGTTTTGGGAAGAATAGAAGGTAGCTGTGTGCCCTGTGACAGTGTGGAGAAAGGAAGGACACTCCGTGCTCCCAAGCCTGGGTGGTCAGGCTCACCGAGGTGCAGCCTGGCCTTCACCCATGAGTGGTGGGCACCAGAGTCTGCAGGGAACTCTCCCTCCCCCTATTCCCCAGCAATTTCGTCCCCAGTGACCACAAACCTCAAGGGTTTGCCACAAACTGCCTTCCCACCCTAAGCACTGGAGTCACTGTTAAGGCCTGGTAGGAATGAATTCATTGGGTGACTGAAGGTTGCATTGCAAGGCAGGCTTGTCGCCAGGGTCTGGTGGGGAGAGAAAGAGGAGGAAATGGTAGTAGGAGGTGGTAGAGTCCTTTCATGTCACATTGGTGCTTTGAACCCAATGCAATGCAGGCCAGTAGCAGCCCAAGCAGTGAGTTATGCCGAGGACAAAGACATTGGAGCTGGTCACAGGGGCACAATTAGATACCGTCTTTGTTGAATTGCTTGATGAGACCTTTGAGTGTGGTCAGGTCCGCCTCCGGACAGTCCCCTGGGCTGGCTGCCTTCCTCTCTGGAGCCCTCAGCTCCAGTTGGGCCACAGAATTTCACCTTGGTTGCACCGCAGACCTGGGAAGAGTTGTTTAAGGTCCATGGGATGTGGGTACCTCCTGGTTTACTTTTTTTACTCTTTTTTTTTTCAAATTAAAATGTAAGCTTAAGATATTAACTCTGAGAGCAGCCTCATTTGAGAAGAATTTTTTTTAAAAGCCATTTTTTAATAGTATTTCCTGCCAGGATAAGATGGGGTTTTTGGCAAGCTCTATTAGTGAGTAAAACCAACTTTGTGATAATATTGATTTTTAAAATCTGGTGGTTGAAGATTATTCCTGTGGAAAAAGAATGACTTCCAGGCCCTGTGAATAAGGCAGGATCCACCATGTCAATTGAGGCATATAAATCTGCAATTTGTTAGAGGTTTTTTGATCCATTGAAGAAACACTCTAAAAATCAACCCAGTGGCATTTCGTTTCGTGTTTCTGTTCCATCTTTTGCTAACCTGTGAACTATGAATTTAGGACACCTCCTCAGAGCCATGGGGATGATATAGGGCAGAAAGCTGCGTGCAGGCCTGTGTCAAATGTGGTCATAAAGCAAATGAAAATCTTATCCATGCACGATCCGCGCCCTCACTTTGTGCGGGGTCAGGCTGACAGAATGGATGGTATGGTAGCAGCTGGGGAGTTGGCTGTGCCTCACATGAAACAAAGAGGCCTTGTCCTTCCATCTTGCAAATAGTACAAAAATATCTTGCATAAACTGAAAAAAAAAAAAAAAAGCCCAACTAGGGTAAGCGGTGGAATCCTGCAAGGGGTTTCTTTTTTTCTCTCACATGCACACATACATTATAAAAAAATCATGTGTGGTTTTCCTAAGGCGCACAACCAACTAATTACAATTTTAAAAGCCCTGCTGAATTAACAAGAGTCATATTTTGTTTGCTTTGCAGGAAAACTGCTGCGGTTGTGCTGCTTTGAGAAGATTTTTGGAAAAATCAGCAGTTCTGATGACTTGACCCCTGTGATGACGGGTGGCCCTGGGGGGTGGTGGAACCACTGAACTTGAACTCTGAGCACCCAGTTAAGGGGGATGCCTAGTCCTGGGGTCCCATGGGGTGCATTCAAGCCCTGAATCCCTTTCCTCACCTCCCCACATCCCATGGTAGTGCACAATGGGAAAGATGTGTCCTGCCATCTTGAATTTTCAATTTTTAATTTTTGATTTTAGTCACTGGAGCAATGGGTACATTATTTCTGCTCTTTCTCAACTTACTAGAGCAATCACACTGAAGATTTATTTGAGACATTTAAACCTGGTGGATACATTTAGAGTGAGAAACCTGCTTCCAGTCCTTAAACTATGCCTTTCAAAGGGGCGAGCGATCATATCGCCAGAAAAAAATTCTGTCTTTTGCATCCTTGAACATTTAGTTTCTCAGACTCTATTATTTTGATTTGGTATGAAATCAGGTGAATCCAATTGATAAATAGTTTGCTTTCTGGAACATAAACCGTTTTTGAATCCTGAGGCAAGAGGCACCAGACATTATATCTTCCATTTATCCTAACTTTTCTCCAAGTTCATCAATTTCTTCTGAGTAGCCAGTTCTACTTTCAAATGAGTGATGTGCATTTCACAAGACACTCCCCGCTCTCTTCTGATTGTACATTCGCTTGCATGAAATGCACTAGTGTTCCCAGGTGGAGCAAGAGGTGTCTGTTTATGGTTAGTCTTTGGAATTACAACCTTTGAAAAAATGTTGATAGTCACGAGAGCTTTCCTCATGCTGCCGTTACCAATGAGACATGGGCTGTGTGCATGCCAAGGAAGGACAGTGCTTTGCTTCCAGTCTTGAGTGACTTGGGAAATAGCACTCAGGTTTCTGGGTAAATTCCAACATTTCTGAAGACCAGTGATCTCACCGACGTGGAGTCTCACATGGCTCAGTGGTTGTGAAGAAAGAACATCCAGAAACCAACGGTGAGGGGAATGCTGCTTCTCACTCTTTGGATATGAGAATGATTTCCAGTTGGAAGCGGCTTCTTGTTCCTGAGTTCATGTGCCATTTCATTACAGATATTTAACAATAGACATGAACCCTACTGTATATAGCACAGAAAAGCATTGGGCCTCTCAAGAGTGAAACATGTGCATCATTTCTTTAGGAAGAAGAGGCCATGTGAAGCCACACTAAATTCTTATTATACATCCAGCACCAGGCTCACCATTCAGCTTCTTAAGCTTTCCCCATATTTCCCATTTCCAAATAGCTCCTACGTTGAGATAAACTATAATAATGTCTTTATTTTTAGCTGTAAATCATTCTAGACTCTGATAGCCACAATAGCAGTGACATGAAATAAGAATGACTTGATGGCCATGTTAGTGAGGGCAGTTTTAATTGGCATTGGCTTTTCTTCATTATTGCTCATATATACCTAGTGGATCCTTATAGCATGCCCATGAATAACCATATGTGCAATGTTCCTATTCTCATGTGAAGGTAAAGGGGAAGTAGACACAGAAGAAAATGTGTAATTTAGTTAGGACCACATGCCAATTTAGTGGTCATGCTAGCTATAAAACTGACTCCTTTCTAGCTTTGCTCTTACATTATGATGCATTTCTTTTTTCCTTTGGCCTATGCATTTATCCAAGGTTGGTTTTCTCCTGTTCCTGTTATGTGACTGTGTTTAAAATGTTTAATTTGGTTTCCTTAAAAAAAAAAACACATACAAAACACACACACACACACACACACACACACACACACACACACAAAGCCCTGTGACTGAAGTGTTATATTACTGTGCTATCTTTAGCTGATGGTATTCATGGAGGCTGGAAAAATACAAGCCAGTGCATGCATTAATACTCAGACCACAGAGGGCTGGCATTCACTCAAATGCTAAATAAGACGCAAGGGTCTGATTTGAAACCCCTCATGGAAGGGCGTTTTCTGTCCTGTGGTGTGGAATCTCTACCAGATAGAGCAGGAGATCTTTCGCATCCAGTTCCTATCCTGATTCACGCTGGCAGAGAAGCTTTCACCAGACCCCAACACACGTGGGACAGGCAGCTTAGGCCAAATGAAGGAATGATTTCTTTGTCAAATTAATCCACTAATGACCCTGCATTCAGTGGGTGTGATTTTTTTTAAAAAGAGGTTTAGGAAGGAGACTCTACTGTAAAAACGAATCTCCTTTGAATCTGGAGTTGAATTTCCACATTAGGATGGGGAGGCATCCCCGTGCCA